TCTCTCAAAACCTCCCGTGCTCGTCGCACCGAAATCAGGTAAACCGTTCTTGATTTATGTCAAGGCGACAAGCCACTCATTAAGTGCATTACTCGCACAAGATGACGATAACGGTCACGAGCAGGCAGTGTATTATTTAAGCCGAACCATGGTGGGCGCTGAATCTCGATATCCCATGATCGAGAGAGAGTGTCTCGCCTTGGTGTTCGCTATTCAGAATATGCGGCATTATCTGGTTGGGCAGACCATTCATCTTATCTCTAAAGTTAATCCGGTTCGAGTATTCATGACTCAACCAGCTTCCATGAGCTGGCGATTAGCAAAATGGGCCTTACTCTTGTCCCAATACGACTTGCATTTTAAACAACAGAAGTCAGTAAAAGGGCAGGCCATCTGTGATCTCCTGGCAGCTAATCCAACTACAGACACCGCTGAGATATATGACGATCTACCCGATGAAACCCACGAAGTAAACGCAACTTCGCACCACCAAGTATGGCGTTTGTACTTCGACGGCGCTTCACGAGCAACTAATGTAGCAAGTGCTCCTGGAAGTTCTAAGATTTCTTCCGGAGTTGGAGTTGTCTTAGTTTCCCCAGGAAAGCACGTGATGCCTCGAGCTTACTCGTTGACGGAACCGTGCTCAAATAATGTAGCCGAATATAATGCATTACTCATAGGACTCAGTTTCGCCAAAGAACTGGGGGTTGAGTACCTCGAAGCCTTCGGCGATTCTCAACTGATAGTTAAACAAGTTCAGGGAGAGTACGAGGTCCGAAGCCAAGATTTAATACCATACCATAAGATGGCAGTGGAGATGGCAGAATCATTCGAAGGATTCTTTATCGAACATATTCCACGGCTACAGAACACTTACGCAAATGCGTTAGCGGCATTGGCCGTATCTCTGGCACAACCTCCTGAAACAGAACAGTTTGTTACGGTAAGAACTCACCAACTCTTAGTGCCGCTTTACGGTGAAGATGCCAAGGAAGAAGAGGTTCAAGAGGTGCACGCTACTCAAGTCGAGTTCGAACCACGAGATTGGCGTTTTCCCATCATCGACTACGTCTTGCATGGAATCTTGCCAGAAGATATGAAGGAAAGAGAGTCAATCAGACGAAGAGCACCAAGATTCTACTATAATACGGAGAATCGAACGCTATACCGCAGGGGGTACGATGGGTTGCTAGCACGTTGCTTATCAACCAAAGAAGCTGAAGAGGTCCTTAGGGAGGAGCATGAAGGAGAGTGTGGCGCGCACCAACCTGGTCCCAAGCTTTATGACCGCATTAGAAGAATGTGATATTTTTGGCCTTTCATGATGAGTGATGCAATCACATACGCCCGAAAGTGTCACGCATGTCAAGTACATGCGAATTATATGCACCAACCTCCGGAGCATCTGCATCCTTTAATTACGTCATGGCCGTTCGAGACTTGGGGAATGGACATTGTTGGCCCTATAAATCCCCCATCAGTCAAAGGTGACCGGTTCATCCTGGCAATTACCGATTACTTCTCCAAATGGGCTGAAACGGTTCCGCTCAAAGAAGTTAAAACGAGCAACGTCATTGCATTCATCAAGCACCATATCATCTATAGGTATGGTGTTCCAAGACGAATCATACATGACAACGGTCCTCAGTTTGTCAGCAACGCCTTCATAAGGTTCTGCGAAAAGTTTAAAATTCAGGATATCTCGTCAACGGCTTATAATCCCACAGCAAATGGATTAGCTGAAGCCTTCAACAAGACTATCATAAAACTCTTGTCAAAAATCGTGAAAACTAATAAACGAGACTGGGATGACAAGCTTGGCGCGGCTCTATGGGCCTATCGGACCACGGTGCGCACACCGACGGGAGCAACCCCGTATTCACTGGTATACGGATGTGAAGCTGTTCTTCCATTGGAGATTCAAATCCCGTCTCTTCGGATCGCTCTTGCAACCCAGATGACGACCGAAGAACAACATCAGAAACGCCTCGACGAACTCGAGAGGCTCGATGAAAAGCGCCTGGAAGCTCAACAACATATTGAGTTTTACCAAGCTAGCATTTCTCGAGCCTTCGACAAGAAGGTTCGACAACGAAGCTTCAAAGAAGGGGATTTGGTTCTAGCTGAGAGGCGGCCTATGATCCTTAACTCCAAAAAGAAGGGCAAATTTGAACCCAAATGGGAGGGACCATTCGTAGTAGAGACAGTTTACTCGAGCGGCGCATATCGCTTAGTCACCAAGGATGGTGACCGGCTTATGATGCCAATAAATGGCAAAGAATACCACATGGGGTATTCTCTGGGATAACCTAATCATTGTAGTATTGATGAATAAGAAATCCCCGTTCGAATTCCGAACGCCGAAATGTTTCTTCTTGTCAAACTCTAACTCTCATGAGTTATTTTTGCGAGATGAGATCTAATCCTTTGATGGATTAATCTTCCCTCACCAAACTATCCGCTAATCAAATTAATCGACGGTAGATCCACCAAAATTTCTATCTGCCAGTCATTGGCATTTCTCAGACTCAATATGTTAGGTCCTAATCACCTAGCAGTAAAGTCCTCCTTTGAGTGATAATACGAGTTGGCATTTTCTTTGCTACCTGTATTCCACTCTCTTTGCTTTCAGGTCAAACCTATAAAAGTTAGGGCCAAAGCCAAATTCCTCTCTCGATTCCTTCCATGAACGAGAGGTCCACATTCAATTCGAACAGTCAAACCTATAAAAGTTAGGATTGTTCCCGATCTCACTTAGTTAAGCCTACAAGTAGTTAGGACTAAGACCGAGTTATTCCTTTTCGATAAACGAAGATCCGCCTTTGTTCCTTTTTCCACCAAACCTATAAAAGTTAGGGTCGAAATTGGGCTTTCTCCTCAATGAATGAGGGATTCTTTTGATTCAAATGACCAATCCTATAAAAGTTAGGGTCGTTTGAACCTTTCCGATTCTCGGAGTGGAGATCCCACTCTTAGTTTCATCATTTCGGAGTCTGGGGGTGGAGATCCCACCTCGAGTTTCCTTTCCAGCTGTAGATAGAATATAAAATTCTTCCTCTTCAGTACCGAGAGATAGAATATAAAATTCTTCCTCTCCCAAAGACAAAATTCCCAACTTCCAATCCGTGCACTTTGTGCACGGGGAATTTTATCTCAACTCCTAAATAGAGATAAGTCTACGCCTAACACGCGTCGCCGGTTTAGTCTTTCGCCGATTGAAAAAGACACCAGAGTATAATTCTGGGGAATTTTATCCTGAAGCCTAAGTAGGGATGAGTCAACACCTGACACGTGTTGCCGGGTAGCCTATTCCCGTAACAAGGGCGAAGCCTATGTATTCAAAATCATAGCACAAAGTCTTAGAGAATTCACTCTCTTAGCACAACGTTATATGAGGAACGGATTTAGACAATCCGCATGCTAGCCCGATTCAAACGGTGATCGATAAAGGCACATCAAACCCGTTGGAGGCTGGGGGTTTGCCAAAAATCCCAAAGCCTATGTCTAACACACATTGCCGGTTTAGTCTTTCGCTGATTGAAAAAGACACCAGGATCTAAGCCTGGGGAATTTTATCCCGAAGCCTAAGAAGGGATAAGTCGTCGCCTAATACGCGGTGCAGGGTACCTTTTCCCTATAAGAAATGGTTAAGCCTATGTATTCAAAATCATAGCATCAAGCCTAAGAAAAGCAATTTTCTTAGCACAACGTTACATGTGAGACGGGTTTTAATAATTCACATGCTAGTCCGATTCAAACGGTAATCGGTAAAGACATATCAAACCCGTTGATGGCTGGGGGTTTGCCAAAAATCCTGTAAATCTTGTCATTGCTGAGTTCAAAATAAATAAAGAAATATCATAACTGAATCAAAGGCTGAGTTTCTATTAATAAATCAAGCTAAAGCATACAATAAAAAGCTCATCATCCTGAAGACAGTCGGCGGCTAAGAACATGAGATTTTAACTTAGAAAGCTTGTCTATATAACTCTGTTCTAGTTCTACTTGCAGGTCAGCTCGGATGGATTCTTCAGAATTGCTCAAGATCCTCGCAGCTTCATTCTTCACTTCCATCAATCTCGCCTGCGTAGGTCCTAATCTCTCAAGCATCTGCTCGCGAGACCTCTCTAGTCCAGCCAACTCTTCCGCCATAATACCAACAGATTCCTCGGCAAGCTTCAAGGCCTTCCTCAATTTATCTACCTCCTCACGCTGAGAGCCCAAAGAATTGAGTAACTCGGCTCTGTCAGTATCCTTCCTGGCAATACCAGCCATCAGCTGTGCGACGGAATGCTCGTATGACTGAAGTTCATGACCGATGGAAGATCTCAAATCATGCCACTGCGACAACCTATTCTCCAGCTGAGAAGACACGAAAGAAGAAGCTCCGCTAGCCTGTAGCTCCTCCAACTCCCGGAGTTCAGACTCCAGGACAATAAAATCAGCAGCGAGGGAGTCAGCTAACTCCGAGTATCCGTCATCTCGGATCATCGTCATGTAGCGAGAAAGGGAACGTCTGTACTGATCAAAACCATATCCTTGGTGAAGAACCTTCTCGATCATGCTGTTAAAAAAGACAACGAATGAGTTGAGATCCATCCGGAATACGTCTCTGCGAGGATCGGGATCAGACAAGATGGCAAGGATGTGATCATATGGAGAAGGCCGAGATCCTACAAACAACAGTATGGAAGGCTAAGAAATTATTGAATACGATAAGGAAATTTAAAAGCAAATTCCGAACATACCAATGTCAACGGAGGCCCCCTCGGGCTGAGATCTGACAGGCTCCGAGATAAAGGCAGGAGCAGTCGTAGAGGGTATATCAACAAAAAGATCGTATGCATACCTGCAATCCCACCGTCCTCAGATGCAGCGGGAATGCCAAGAGTCATAAGGGTATCGGCCCAAGCGGCTGGGCCTATAGTTGCACTTCTTTATTAGTCAAAATGAAAATTTAGACAAATAAGGAGGATTGGGATGATAAGGTCATCTGCATACCTGTAGGTCCATCATCCGTAGGTATCTGGGGAATGCCAGGAATCATAAGAGAATCAGTCCCGGTGGCTGGTCCTATGATTGCACTCATATATTAGTCAAAAGTCAGATAAATAAAGAGGAGTACGATGTCCCTAAATCGCATGCGTACCTGCAAGTCCGTCACTCCGAGGTAAGCTAGATATGCCGGGAATCGATATTGGGTTAATCCCAATGACTGGCGCTGTAATATTAATCCTTCGTTAGTCAGACAAAAGATCAGGCAAGATGAAGGGAATCAGATATATACCTGTGAATGAATCACTCTCAAAGGGTGGTCCCACGGTTCTTTTGGTGGCCTGCTCAGCCAACATATCGGCTAATAATCCAGCGTCGGGTTTCAAGAAACTTGGTACAGGAGCACACCCATGTTCCTCGAAACCTACATCATGATAGGCTCCATCCTCAACTGGCTTTTCCATCGCGACATCTGCAGGATAACCTAAATGTTGGAAGATGAGGAAGAAAGGAAAGCTCAGAAATACCTGCAGCAAAAACAGAAGATTCTCTTTCCCCATGCTTGAGGAGGGTATCATTGGATGTAGATATACCTGAATATGGGACGGTGGGCTCAACACTATTCACCTGCTCAAGATCAATGTTTAGATCGATGCCCAGAGAACCGTCATGAAGGGCGTCGCACATCTGCTGCATAAAGCAATCCATGTTATCAGATCCAGGAGATACCGGACCCGATGGAAGTTCGCCCTATTCAAAGAACCCTGGAGCATAAAACATAGTTACGAATCCCAAAAGGTAAATCACCTTAAAGCAATAAAAATAAATATTACCTTCCCCTCCATCGGCAGTGCTTCCTAAGTCCACTCCATAAGGACGCTGACCGTCGTGGGGTTTATGTGCGGTCTTCTTCCTTTTCGGGGCACCAACCCTCCTAGGACCAACAGGTCGGTCATGCACGGACTTGTCACACGTCTCAACATGCGTGGGAGCTCGATCGCTGGGCCCTGAGCTCATATAACGAGAAGCTGGCGACTCATGATCATCAACTGTCCTACCTAAAGTGACAATGGTCATTTCATTAAACGAACAAGATCTGTCATTTAGACCAATTAGAATAGAGAAGGAAAATCAAAGAGCATGACAAACCTGTATCAAGTTCTTCTCTGTCGGTATCTATATCCACGTATTCCTCCTCAGAAGTCTCGTCGTCATCACCCGTAGGAAGGAGCTCTTCATCATCTTTGAGAAGAGATTTGGCATGCCCCTTTCTCTGCTTCTGAGCAAGCTCAGCCCTGCGAGCAGCCATCATAGCAACCTGGACCGAGTGCTCGGACTGTAACTCTGAAAGACTCCTCACACCTATGGATTCATGGGCGGAAAGGAACCACTTGCAACTGAGGAAAGTGGTCAGCGGCTTACGCCTATATGAAGGAAGAGCAAAATGGGCTCTAGTGCAGCCCACCATAGTCCACAGCCATGCTCGTACGCTGTCAATAAGCCCTCCCTCAACCTGCAGACCACGACTTGGATTCCCAACATACAGTTGGTCATAGCCGAACTGACGAGCAAAACGGCAGGGAAGGTAAGGCTCTTTGTGGCATTGATTCTTCACCCGGAGAACAAGATACCCAACGCGGATGTTCACTAACCAGCGGAAACAACCAACGTCGAGAACAGTCCGGTCACTTCTAGGTTTCTCCTCGTCAATCAGCACGTCACCATAGCGACCCGAAAAGTGAGGAAAACACTTGAAGAACTCCTAGCTCTTACGGACTCGAAGCTCTCGTTGTACATCACTAAATTTGTTCCCGAGCCATCTGCTCTTTTCCAACAGCTGCACAAAAGGAACGGGGACATCAACAACGCTGGGCGCCGACATCAAGTCAGGACGGTGAAGGACAAGCCACGCCATCAGATATGCATAAGGAAGCTCGACCTTCGGACAAATAAGCTCGGTCGATGGTTCAGAACCCCCCTGTGTAAAACTACTGACTAGACACCTAAGCCCGCAATGGATGCCAGCAACCATCGCTGGGAGCAGGGAAAGCTCTCTCCCGTAAGCTAGCTGAACGGCAGGAAAGAGCACCTCGATAGGTAAAGCGTCTGAAGGCTGGTACGGAACAACACATTTCTTCAACCAGAGAGCAAGGTATCCTGCTAGTAGAGTCCGGGGCCTAATGGACTTCTGTGCACGGCGAAGAAACGAACGAAACTTGGTTCCTGTAGGAAAAGCTCCCTCAGCACTGGCAATGGTGTAAGAACGAGCCTCAGCCTTCTCCACCAACTCATTAACGGCGGTAGGGGTCAACACATCTAATTCACGAATGGGCTCGCTGGAATTACCCTCCAAATTCTGGAACAAATAGCTAGCAAACTGCTTCAAGCTGATCTGCTTCTTCCTTTTCGCTAGAAGAGAAGTCTGGGCCAAGGAGGTATAATAGTGACAAGTAAGATCCCAGAGAGTGTCATACATATCGGGAGTATCTTTCTTCATACACTCCAACTGCTGGTTCGAGGGGAAGTACTCCTGATACGGACAATCCCCCATCGGAAGACCCGAAACATGGTGCATCTCGTGCAAGGCCAACCCTAGCTCACCACCACTGGTCAGAAAGGTGTTGCCTCTAACAACGCCAAGAAATGGTGACAGCTGATCGGGAGTCCGTACATGGTGGCTCGTATAGGTGCATACAATCCACTGCTCTTCAAATCCCTCTCCCAGCGCGCCAATACGAAACTGGTCATGCGTGCCCACCATCCCTTGGCTAGTGAGGAAGCCCAACCATAGCATCTATAATCTGGTGGAGGTAACCTTCTCCCCAGAAGAGCCAGACGATTACCCACGGTAGGAGCAGGTACTGACACCTCGCCTGGGGGTGCAGTGTCAAGGCCCATGATCCCTGGTCGAAGACCACGAATATCATGATACCCGCTAGAACCAGGAGTCTTGTGATGAGAGGCATATCCACACTGGACTCGCTCAGCATCATCAGTAAGGTGCTAAGACATCTGTCGCTCCACAGCCTGTCCCTTCAAGTGACTGAAAGAATATTGACGCGGAATGGAGGGAATGTACAAGAGGAGCTCTTCGTCGAGAGTACAGCCAGTGTTCCTCGGTAAGGCCGTCAACGTAGCAAAAGATCCTCGACGTGATCTCCGAACAGGAACACTCGGGCTTCTTTTAAACCTGATAGAGGAAAGAATCCACAGTAAAGGAGGCATCCGCCTGATAAGCTTTAGGCGCCAAAGCAATCACGACCCCTCCTCCCGCTATCAAACGACAGGATTCGTCGGCAGCGATCTCTCTGTCAACCGAGGAGTGCGGACTAACGGCCTGCCTGAGAGAAGCTGTAAGAAAGACTCCCGGCCTACAACCAGTATTGGCATTGAGGGGGCGGAGGAAGGCTACCCGCCAGCGAAAACTCTACTTGCATAAAACACAAGGATAGAGTCAAGAAAATCCATCTCATAAGAAGAAGATAAGCTCATTCACGGAATAACTGGATGAGGACGATTTGAGTGCTCTACACGAAGAACGCGTATGCATCATCACGTAAATAACTGTAACAACACCGACTATAAGGTTGTAGTGACGACACAAAAATCACCCCAAATATAACCAGAAAAGACTTGAATTGCGCCGAAGCCCAGGACAAGCTCTGAAACCTTAACCCCTGCGAAGCGAGGGTGTCGTTCTTCCTCATGACCCCCCGAAGAGCCCGTCAACAGGATACGAAAATGTAAATTCTCACCCCCAAAAGCAAAGAGGCCGCTGCGAAAGATGGCCGAGGCGAACCTCTTACCTCGCTGTGCTGCGAAAATTGAGAACGACTCCTACAGCGGTCCGAGGTCGGCCCGTGGAGTGGAGACATTGAAAATCTTGCAACGCAAAAGCAGAGCAAGTCAGGTACATCTAAAAGTATGTAATACAACGAAATTTAAGAAACAGGCGAAATTAAGAACTTTAATTTTAAAGTCCTATGGCTATAAATAGGATTTTATAATTGAAGTCTAGTTAAACCTACAAATTTCGTGCATGCGAAACAATGATTGTCATTTTTTGCAGTGAATTTTGGTGAATACCTAAAATACCCTTCGTGTTCAAGGCTAAATTCGGGTCAAGGACACGCTCGAGTTGGGTCATGGTCATCATATCTGATCATATAGCACCCCCGATACCCCACAATTTTGGTTAATTTTATAAATAAGCCCTTTTGTAGAATTTAGCCAAGTTTGCAAATAAACCCCTCCACAAATTTCGGTTTGGTTTTCGCATACCCTTCTCAAAACTTTAGTCATGGGTTTGTGGTCTAAATTCTTGGAATTTCAGCCCTAAAATTTCAGCCCTTTTGCAAATATGCCCTTCTACAAGTTTTGAGTTGCTTTTTGCAAATAAACCCCTCAAACAATGTCGATTCTTTTGTATAAAAGCACCTTTCAAATTCGGCCAAAAGGAGTAAAATTTTAGTCCTAAATGTCAGCCCCCTTTGCATAAAAAACCCTCAAATTTCAGTCCAATTTTGCACAAAAGCCCCTCAAATTCGGCCATATTGTTGATTTTACATAAAACCCCCCCAAATTCTTGTGCATACACAACCCATCATCAAAGAGCCTATCCTCTAACTCATGAGAACAAAAAGCTATGATCTTTGCATACAAATTCATGGTATACCCCCATCACAAACATAAAGCTATGATCTTTCTTGAAAAAGAGGAGAGCTTTGAAGGGAAACTTACCAAATCAAGAGGCTTTTCTTGAGCCTGAAGATGATGAAACCCTAGCTTGGAGGAGAGGGTATTTTCGGCCAAGGAGAGAACACCAAAATCCGAAATTTCGTTATGGAGTTTATGGGTTTAGAGTTCTTGGAAGGTAAAGAACAATGGTGGAGGGATAGAGGTAGAAGAAGATGATTCAAGAGGGAAAGAATCCTCTTTTGAAAAGACTTTGAAAAGAGGGGGGAAAACAAAAATGGAAAGAATTCAAATAAAAGGGGGGGGGGGATTCGGTTTTTGGCCAAAACACCCCAAGGGGGGTCTCGGCAAAACCGAGAAACCCCAAGGGTGTCTCGGTTTTGTTGGGACACCCATTCGAGACAATTCAAGGGTGTCTCGGTTTTGTTGAGACACCCCTTGGGTGTCTCAACTCTATTCGAGCCCCCCTGAGCCTTTTTCGAAGTCCGAATTTGCCTATTTTCGCCGGTTGTTGGACATTTCGACGAAATCCACACTAATCAACGACGAGCGATCCAAAACCCTAGGGTCAACGCCAGTCAACGCGTAACCCTAGGTCAACGCCAGTCAACGCGTTGCCACACAAGTCAACGTTTGACGATTCAAAACCCTAGGGTCAACGCGTAACCCTAGGTCAACGCCAGTCAACACGTTGCAACCAAAGTCAACGTTTGACGATTCGAAACCCTAAGGTCAACGCCGGTCAACGCGTAACCCTAGGTCAACGCCAGTCAACGCGTTGCAACCAAAGTCAACGTTTGACGATTCGAAACCCTAGGGTCAACGTCGGTCAACGCATAACCCTAGGTCAACACCAGGCAACGCGTTGCAACGAAAGTCAACGTTCGAGGATTCGAAATCCACGAAAGTCAAGGTTCAAGGATTCGAAATCCACACAAGTCAACGTTCGACGATTCAAAACCCTAGGATCAATGTCGGTCAACGCGTAACCCTAGGTCAACGCCAGTCAACGCGTTGCAACGAAAGTCAACATTCGAGGATTCGAAATCCACGAAAGTCAAGGTTCGAGGATTCGAAATCCACACAAGTCAACGTTCGACGATTCAAAACCCTAGGATCAACGCCGGTCAACGCGTAACCCTAGGTCAACGCCAGTCAACGTGTTGCGACCAAAGTCAACGTTTGACGATTCGGAACCCTAGGGTCAACGCCGGTCAACGGGTAACCCTAGGTCAACGCCGGTCAACGCGTTGCGACCAAAAAAAGTCAATATTCGACGTTCGAAACCCTAGGGTCAACGCCGGTCAATGCGTAACCCTAGGTCAACGCCAGTCAACGTGTTGCGACCAAAAAGTCAACATTTGACGTTCGAAACCCTAAGGCCAACGCTGGTCAACGCGTAACCCTAGGTCAACGCCAGTCAACGCATTGCAACAAAAAGTCAACATATTGTGATCCGAAACCCTAAGTCAACACAATGTGATGGAGGTAGTTCAAAGTCAACTCAATGACACAAGCCAAACTCAATTCATCAGCTGTAGACTCGAGACTCTGACGATGGCCAAGCGATAAACGCAGCGCCGGAAGAACTTCGGCTATTCGTCAAAGCATCGAATAGACCGAAAATCGAAGGAGTCAAGAGTTGAAGCTAACTGCAGGTCCTTTACGCCGACTGAAGGCTAGACCAATCACATCCAAAGTATTTCAGCCTCTTCTATAAAAGAAACGAGTCCGGAACGCTTTGGAGGGGGTATCTGTAGGCATCGAAAATTACCTATAGGTCTCCACGAATGGCTCAGTGTTAAGGAACGACAATGAACATCACCATCCGATCCACAGGAGTTCGATTGACGTTGATGAACGATTGAAGTGAATCAACGAACTACGTGAGCCGATAGAATTTCGGAATAACGGAGGCACGGGCCAATCGGGAACCCTACGATGTTCGCAAAAAGAACAATGCCCTTCATATATCGATCACTCTACAGATAATCCAACCATCGGAGCGGATGGAACTCCTCGTCAAGCTTCCAACGCACTTGGAATCACTCAAATCCGAGTTCGGACGAAGAATTTACGGCGGAAACAATCAAACGTACACAACGGAGCGTCTCAGGCTGAACTGGGACACCCGGGGTGTCTCGGGAAAGTCGAAACACCCCAGGGGTGTTTAGGCAAAGCCAAGACACCCCAGGGGTGTCTCGGCCAAACCGAGACACCCCAAGGGTGTCTAGGCTTTGCCTAGACACCCCAGGGGTGTCCCAACGTCCTATGTAACCCCCATGCCTATAAATAGGAACCTTAGGGCCTCATTTTGGAGGATTTGGATTTTTGGAGAGTTGGCGAAGCCCTGCTGCAGTGAAGAGTGGTCGAGCACTTCAACACAAGAGAGGTCTTCATCAGATTCGCATCACCCGTGTCCGTTCCTTAGCATTACCCTTCGCCGGTAATCCTAAGAAGAGCAAATATCTTGTTTTAGCCGAGATAGGCGCTTCAAGCTTCTAGATCTCCTCGCGGATCGACGAAGCTCTGCCCGATTTTGCTGGATCAGATCTGATTGCCAGGTAGTCCACGGATATCGACGTCCCCGTCACAGGCCAAAGACCCACGCAAGCAAGAGACGATAAACGGATCTTGCGTTTATTTTCAAGAAAGTTGTAATTTTTTATTTTCGTTATTTGAATTTCATTTGTAACGCTTAAAGTTTTAATGAAATCAATGATGAAGGCAACTTTTGACGAAAACACGTGGGTCAGGGTTAGGGTTAGGGTTTCGGGGGAGAGGGAGGAGGGCATCGGGGAGAAGGTGGACGGGTCGAGGGCGGAGGAGTAGAGGGCTGAGGTCGAGAAAGGAGAAGTAGAAGGGGGAGGAGAGGGTGAGGTCTCCGGAGAAGGGAGAGGAGAGGGTGTAGAGGGCGGAGGAGTGGAGGGCTGAGGGGGAGGTGGAGGGGTCTCCGGAGAAGGGAGAGGAGAGGGTGTAGAGGGCGGAGGAGTGGAGGGCTGAGGGGGAGGTGGAGGGGTCTGTTGGGAAATTACCCGGATTCCCCTATTGTCAGATTTGAGAGAAAGCGAAAATAAATGCGCAAAAAGGGGACACGCAAGATTTACGTGGTTCGGCACAAATTTGCCTACGTCCACGGGCTGCTGCAGATCTTTCAACGCAAGATTTACGTGGTTCGGCACAAATTTGCCTACGTCCACGGGCTGCTGCAGATCTTTCACTATTTGCGAGAAATATTACAAGTGTTTTTCACACTCAAACTCACAACCCTCTTCACTCTGAAAATTGCTCTCAATTTTCTCTCTTGGATTTTTTTTTTCTCACAGAGTTTTCTTTCTTCTCTCTTAATCGCTCTCTAAGCTTATGCTCTTTTCTGTGATTTTTGGAGTGCATTCACCGGAGGAAGAGAGGGGGGCTTTTATAGGCTTCAATGCTCCTTTTTTTCTTTCTGACATTTTTTACTTTTGCTTCCATCTCTCTTTTGTCAACACACACCAACCAACAGCCACACGTTTCTCAACTTTGGCGGCCCGCTTCCTTTCTTCCTTTGTCTTTGTCTGCTTTTGTCAAAAAACTTTTTAGATGGCAGGAACTTTTGACCAACAATCTCCCACTTGAAGACTGATTTCAATCTGTCTTCACATCTCGATCTATGCAGCAGCTCTTCCCCGATCTTGTTATTGTTGCAGGCCAACTGAAGCTGAACACAGCTTCAGTTTGTCAATAGTCACCATCTTTTTCAGCATGTCTGCCGGATTTTGAGCTCCACTGATTTTTTCAAGCTTCAAAATTCCATCTTCCAGAAGTGATTATTCTAGACGGAATATTCTAGACGGAAATTTTCCGTCTAGTTTAATACAAACTAGACGGAAAAATTTTCGTCTAGAATATTCCGTCTAGAATATACGATTTTTTACTAGTGCCTTTTTACATTCTTTGTACAAGCTAGAAATTTAATACATAAAATTCAGAATGCATGAATATTCTTATATTTGAATTACAATAAATAATTTTGGATCATCATATATGAATATTGACAGTGTATGAGCATATATACCTATAATCTCTTACATCAAACCTTATATCATGTTAATGTGTTATCAAACTCTTTGAATAATCTATTTGATAAGCTGACCTGAATCATTATATAAAAAGAAACAATTGGAGGCCAAATCCAACTGTTTCCTCAAAAATTTAATTAGTTTTCTCAAAAATAATGTTAAATTGAATTTTACTCTTTCTGAATTTAGGGATAAGATGTGAAATTTCACTTTGAGTGTGTAATCTACAAATATACCTTGTAATATTCAGATGATTTTGATTTCCAATTGAAAATCAATAATTAAATGCATGTGAGTTGCATATTAGTGTGAGGCCAAATCCAACCCCTTGAAGGTGTAATTCCTTTTATTTTTCCGTTAGGGTGTAATTCTCTAAACTTCTCATTCTTTTTTCTTTTCCTCAAACTGCCACTGCTCTTTCAGGTGATAAGAAGAGAGCTATCTTTGAATTGATTCCCAGAAGTACATATAAGTAGATTCCCAATCATCCTTTACCCTTCAAAGATTTTGAAACTTGTGGAGGTTAGTGTTGGTTATCTCCACTGTGAACCGTTTTGATCCCAAAGATATATTTCCATTACCTCATATATGGCTCCTTTTATATGTTCAAATTTTCAGGCTTATGTTGAGAAATATGCAAATCCTAGGCCTTTGCGTGACTGAAGCTTCTTAGTAGGAATACGTTGGAGCAAACCCAGAAGTACATATAGTGCAGACATTAATGCCAGTTTCTCTCATAGGATGCTTCTGTCCAGCCTGTAGATTTTGAAGACTGTAGGCTATTTAACGTTTTTCATCGAAGTAGCAAGGTAAGGAATAGTTTTAGAGAACTGTGACTTGTTTTTTAAGTTTGAAATATAGAAACTGGAGGTACCTTGGAGACAGGGACTATATGTTGTAGATTTCCCTTTCAAATTTTGCTGTGCCTTAGAGCTTTTTGACATCTCTCATGCAGTAATTCATATTACCCAGCAAAAAATTTCGAGGTTCTTTTAAAAGAATGTTAATGTTCATATCGTGTAAATAGTGATTCTTCCTCTGGGTTTTTTCATGCTTGGAGTCTGATTCTATAATCATCCATATTCATGAACATAGCATACATTGTTTTTATTGCTGATTTTATTTATTTTTATATGTGATTATAAGCTTCAACTGTGGCGGGACAATGGGCAAATTTACCGATATGTGTTGACTTTCTGTAACATTGTTTCAATATTTCTCTGCAGAACTGTATGCTAATTCCATTCACAGTTTATAACTTTCATCATCCTTTATTATAAAATTACTGTGGAAGAAGTTCACGTCCATCTTCAAGAACTTGATGAGAGTATTACAGCACAGAAGCAAGTCAATGAGGCTCTAGGTATCTTGTTTTTTACCTCTACGATGTGTTACTGTCAGCAATACTTTCAGGCAAATCTCTCCAATAATGTCCTTGCTTGTTATGAACATAGCAAGAATTTACCTTTCCATAACATATCAAGCAAGAGTTTACGAAGCATTTCTGCAACGTTTGCACTTTCCCTTCTTCAAAATTCTCTCCTCAATCTTTGCAGGCAACTGAGGATCCGGCCGCACTCCACTAAACTGGGAATCACACTCCGCCATTGCCCTCGCCGCCGCCAAGGGCATCGCATTCACTCTGAGAATGAATTTTTTGACTCAAATTTGGAGATGGGTCAGTTAAAAATTTTGTAAACTGTAATTGCATTTTTTATAAATTTGGAGATGAGACAGTTAATTTTTTTGTAAACTGTAATTGCATTTTTTGTAAATTTGGAGATGGACTATGATAATGGCGATCAAGTTCCTAACTATTTTGTTGTAAACTTGTGTATATTCTCTTTATTTACTTGTGTTAAATTCTTTGTTGCTAGTTCTTAGTTTAGATTATTCTGTGTCTAAAGAGCTGCATTGATGTATTTTTGTTTGTTGATATGTGCAATTCGTTGAAGTACATTTAGATTTAAACACTGAATATGTCTTTGAAATAACTCCATGTTGTAAGTAGTGATAGTTTTTGTCTAAAGAGCTTGCAAGAAGTGTTCTTTTGTGTATTATAAAAATTTTTACTAGTTATATGTGTTAGGATATGTCTTGTTTTTGATAAACGGATCAATTGGGTTATATGGGTCGGGTCGGGTAACCCGTTTAATAATTGGGTCGGGTCACATTGACCCATTTATTAAACGGGTCGGGTCGGGTCACACTTATATAGGTCGGGTCAAATTTTATATGGGTCGGGTCGGGTCGGGTCGACCCATTTGCCACCCCTACCGTAAACCCTCTATAAATGTTGACGTTTTCCACTAAATTAAGGTATGCAATTTTACAAAAAAAAAATAAAAATCAACAAGACTATACTTTGTTTTTCTCTTTAGATTAACTAGAAACAGTCACTGACTTGAGCATTAGAGGGCACACCAAAGGAATCAATCTCCGTTGTCTCTAGCATCTATTATCTATGTAGCAATGTAGAGCTCAAAATATCCAGAACGGGAGAATCAAAACCATCAAAGACAATTAAGATACCAAAAATTGAGTTTAACCCTCCTAAATCACATATCGACTTCGCAATGTAAACAGTAGGATTATTAAAACGGGTCAGGTTAATTAAATTGGGGGAGGGGCAATTTCGTCTACACGCTTTTTTACACCATCAGAAACAGAAAAATCAGTAGTGATTTTAAATGGAAAAATCAACAGGGCACTTAAATGTAAGATTTTACAACTGGGCACATTAAAGTGCAACAATGGTGAAACTGTGGGGGCATTTAAAAGCAATTTAGCCTAAATATTTTTAACACATTAATAATCAATACTAACATGATTAAGTTTTTAGAAAATTATAGCCAGAAATGATAAAGTATAAGCTATCAGGTAGTGGACAATAGTTAGGATATTTTTAGATCTTTCAAACTTTGTCTGTCTAATTAGTTTCAATATACAATAAATTGTTAAGAATATATGTTGTATTTTTTAAAATCTTGAGGCGTAGGTGTAGAACCCAAGAATACCGACTTTTCTTAAATGATTATAATAGATTTATTATTTATTTCCACAGGTGTTTTGCACATGTACCCAATCATGCATGCATATGTGCAAAACCACAAAAATATCCATAACTTTGGAAAAAGTACATTCAAATCAATAAACCAACTTTGTTGGCTATTTGTAATTGCAATGTAAAAGTATCAGTAATATACCTCAAAACTTTTAAACATTGTATCCAATGAAGTTGACGATTTATTGGAGACGGGTTAGACTGGTGCTCAACTCAGACTGAACTCACATAGCACTACGTATTAAAAAAGGGTTAATTCCAAATAAACCCACGCACTGCTGCCGAGTTGTTGTAGTTCTGTCATTGCATATAGGCCTCTATGCGAAATTTTTTCTGTGACCCTTTTCTGGGGAATATATGCAACAATAAATTTTCACTTAGGGTGTATCTGCAACAGTAGAATTCTTTGGATGGACCTATCTGTACCAATAGATTTTGGTCTATCTTTTAGTGCTATGATATTGTTGGGCACGCCAAAATCTCGATGCAGTCAAGCAGCAAGAATAAAGCCCATGAACATTAATCACTGATAGGTTACTATAGACCTTGACATTAGTGGGCCTCATAAATTCAGACGATATTCACCACATAATAAGCAACTTATGTCATCTAAATGGCTATTTATGCTGCTACTTGTGAGATGCGTGAACCACGTGAACTACCTAACATTTCATTATTTTACGGGCCTGAAAATATACAGACTGAGTTGAGGGTAAAAATAGTAAACAAATAATTCAAAAATGCAGACCCAGGAAAAAAAAGATTAAAAAATAGGGGCATTCCGAGAATTGAACTCGGGACCTCTCGCACCCTAAGCGAGAATCATACCACTAGACCAAATGCCCAGTTGTTCGTTAAGCTTAAACATTTATTCTATTAGCAAATACGTTTACATGCATAAACAACACGAGCGCGCGAACCAAAACCAGAGTCCCGTCTTCTTCTTAGCCTTTACAACAACATACTGATCAATTAGTTAAACCTGGAGCATGTCTTTCTGACCTCCCCTTGGCTCCCAGTCTTCACGCCAACACTGCTCATCTTCACCATCGACTTCGGAAACTCGAAATCGAATCTCAACCCGAGCAACCCCCTTATGCTCCCAGCGTAGCTCTGAACAACAGCCTGCGTCGTAGAATCCCCCCACAGCCTCTGGTCAGACTCCAGCACGCCTTGAAGTAGCTGACGTCGAACTGCGTAGAGCTGCCGGCGTCGAGGGCGGCGCGCTTCGAGGGGTCACCATCAGGAGGGCAGAGGGATTGCAGTTGGGTCAGGAAGGAGGGGTCGATCGTCGGGTCTGCATTGCCGGTGGCTGTGAAGTTGTAGAGACGATATCGGAAGAACAAGCAGTCGGTTTGGCCAATTGTGTGGGCCCCTGATGAATACGTACAATATTAGTTAAGTCCATATCTCTACTGTATCTTCGTAAATATTAGTATGGATTATGTTATTCCAGTAGTTTGATTTTGGCAGATGGACCATTAATTCGCGTGAAATTTTCTCGACAAGTTTTGGAAGATGTTACCCTAAGTGAGTCTATCCGAGTAAAAGAGACAAAAAAAAACAAGGGGTCTATCTGCGAAGATCAAACTATCTAAAGTGCAATACTACAAGGGTCCTATGTGCAATTATCCCTAAATTATAAGTCGATTAATGCCCCGCGGACCTCAAATAGGGGGCCCAAGGGGGGACATGTGAGCTGTCCCCCTCCGGTTGGATGATGCACTGTTCATGGACAGTGCATCATCCAACCGGAGGGGGACAACTCACATGTCCCTCCTTGGGTCCCCTATTTGGGGTCCCTGTAGAAGCGCCCTTTAAGATGATTGTGATTTAGATCAAATTTCACTAACATGTGGAACCCCGTATCACAGTTTTCCCCCCATATGTTTCATTTGGGAAGAAAATTTTCAGAAACACCATAAAAATAATGAACAATTTCCTTTTAGAAGACGACCATCCAATTTTCATGGGAAGATCAGATAATCCAAATCTCTGCCTATAAACTCCATCGTGTTAGAAAATACAATAAACAAGACAATGTACACATTTAAATAAAAAAATGACAATGAGGTTTGTATCAAAAACTTGATAAAACCCAACACACCGATCCCATATTAGGCTGCCACTACAAAAAAAAAACATAAATAATAAAAATGAGCGAATTAGTTATGGTCTAACTACACAATGTAAGCAAACAAAAAAAAAGTAAACATCCCTGCAAAAACTCTGAAAACTGACAGAATTGTGAACAATCTTAAAAAAATTAAACCGAGATTAGCCGCTAAAACAATCACATATTCAACCAGAAAAACAAACTACGTACTCAAAAAGAGGGTAAAAGAGGGATCTCATAAGTCAGAATTTACCAACTAGTGTGACAAGATCATGATCATTTAACCCTTTATCAGCAAACTTCTGCCTCTGAACAGCAACAGAGTCAGCAGGCGATGGTAAACTCGTAGCCTCCGACGCTGACGAAGTCATGCCATCTCGCCTCCCGAGCGGCACAGACCAGCTCGGACCTCCGGTTAGGTCCACAGAATCACGAGCAGCCAACGCGAGGATATCAGCACAGGAAACAACCCCTGGGCATAGAGTTTCTAACTGAGATTTTGCGTCGTCTATGACTTCGAATCCTCTTAGGCCAAGATTTTGTAACGCGCTCCTCTCTGCAGAGGCTCCGGAGATGAGGACTGATCCGTCACAGCCCTGGACAAAACAACGTAATTTCCACTAGAATTATACAAGAATTATAAGAAAAATGGTACTAAAAATAAGCCTGGATTCAAAAAAAAAAAAAAAAAACTTATACAATAATTATAACCCTCATTGAGAAGTCTGGAAGAGGACCATTAATCGGAGATGAAATTAATAGTCCATCTACTCAGACCCAATTGACTGAAAAGGAATAACTATTTGAATCATAAGTCCTAGCATATTTAACCATATATTCATCTAATTGATTTTTCCGATGCAAGACTAATTAAGCTCATCTCACGTCTTTTGCCATACCAATTAGCGTAATGGAAGTGACCTCACGTCTTTTTGCCATACCAATTAGCGTAATGGAAGTGACTTTAAGATGGTATCAGAATTGTATAGTAACACGGAAGGTTAAGATGTGACGTTGTAACCACAACTTCAGATTTTGGTGCAATAAAAATAGATTGAAGAGCTATCGTTAACAAGATAACGGATGTGAGGATGAAATAGTTAAGCATATAAGAAATAAATTTAGTACAACGGAGAAACCTGAACGAAACAGTCGTGGAAATGAAGCCTCAGAAGACCAGGCGCTATGGTGGAGTCTTTGTTGAAGTACTTCTCAACGGTGGATCTCACTGTGGCCTCGGCTCTGGGACAAGATGAAGAGTAGAAGCCTGTCCGCAGAGTTTGAGCTTGGGCGTGAACAGAAAAGAAGAGAAGGATCATTCCAACGGAGCTCAACACGATATTAGAATCCATCTTATGTATGACAAAAGCAAACGCCCTGCTTGTTCTCAAATCTCAACCCCCCAAGCTTGGTATTTATATAGACAGCATGTCATAAAATTCGAATATGTGTAGATTCATATTGTCAGAATACGGTAGAGAGTTCACACTGCACCGTTGTGATTCAATACTAAAAATTTAACACTTATATATCCCAGCTTCAGATTGTACTCATTTCCAGTTTTCATTCAAGATGAATCCGAACCGTCCACTAAATAACAGACGGTTAAGGTTGAGAAAGTAATCCCCTACAAGGTTTTCGTCGGTGAAAAGCATCTCAACCCCGTGCACACTTTTCAACATCCTCCTCCTTCTACCTTTCCCTGCTGGTTGTAATAGTGGAGCAACGCTTTTGTGCAATGCGCGTGGGCCATCGAAGCTGATGCTTCTCAGTTTACGTCCACTGTTTCGCCTTAATTGTGGATTACAGAGCATTGGGTGGTGGCGATGCATAAAGTTCCATTAGTTTTTCAAAATTCTCTCCAGTTTACCTTTATTACATGTGTAACATTCAAACATCGATCGTTCCACATTACTTTTAGGCCTACATCTTGAACTGGTGAAGCGAAAGATAGTCTAGAGATCACTTGGCCGTGTTCAAACTGGAGTTGCTGCATCCCAGAACATGCTATTATACACACCAGCTTTCAGACGACGCGGTGTGATCATGCAGCTTAGTTTGTACTTAACTTCTTCAGAGCCTGTTATTTGTAAACCAAGATTCATAAAGGTAGTGGTTCATATAAGGCTCCCCTTGGAGTTTAATTATAATTTTCAATCCTCGTTGTAACCTCAAGGTTTTGATGCATCAAAGAAATGTATATTCAAATACCACCAAGCTATTTAGAAAGCGGATTAAGAAAAGTTGTGTGTTAGGGACCCAGGTTTCAGTCGTAAAACAATGTATATTTGTGAAGATCGATTGTGGAGAAGGAAGTAATTAAACCTCTATGAATCTAGTTTTCCGTGGGAAAAGTCCTCTCAGTACCATCTTCAATTAACTGTTGCTTGTACTCGCTTTTCCCTTGCTAGGGCCAAAATTGAAGCATCTTTTCCAGAAAAGGAGAGTTAGGGATAATGAAGAATAATTAAGCACTTGAAAATGTTAGAATAGAGAGGAATAAAGGGTTGAGAACCTGCTTGAAATCGTATGGGATCTATATGCAACAACGAATGATTACGTCGGAACTTCAAATCATGATCCAGACCTCTTGACATCTTCAGCTTGCTGTTCTTTCGAAAGTGAAGCATCTTCATCTAGACGAAGCAGCCGTTCCCTGAGAAAGTGTGGCCCAAGAATATTAGGAGATAGACTGCAGCCTTTGCAAATACATTGGTTTCAATCACTTAGATGTAATGTTTCTTCATGTGCTCAGGGGTTTATAAACTGTCGACTTAAAATTCTGTCAAATCTGAAACAAAAATTTAAATACAATCATCATCGTCCACAAGAAGATCGATAAAATCAAATGAATCGGGGTAGTGGTGCCATTATCATGCTTGAAAAACAACATGAAGCAAATTATAACTTGTGCCCCTGAACATAACTTGTGCCCCTGAACAGAATAGATGGAAGACTTTAATAAGGAATGAGAGAAAATGAAGGAGAATATGCTGAGTACTGGAGTTACAATGAGTTACGATTAACTGCTAAATAATAGATGGGTACATATAGATACATGATCAAATATCATCAACACCATTGGTACTAACTGTTGGGAATTTAACGCCGAAATCCCTAATGCAACGGAAATGCAGAATAGAAAAAAGTACACCAAGATTCCTAATGCAACGGAAATGCAGAATAGAAAAAAGTACACCAAGATTTACGAGGTTCGGCAACTGCCTACGTTCTCGGGAGCCACACAAAGTACACCAAGATTTACGAGGTTCGGCAACTGCCTACGTTCTCGGGAGCCACACAGTCAATTTCTTATTCATCAAACAAGAAATTACAATTGAAGAGCAAATCCCAAACTGTGATTTCTCAAATGAACACTATAGCTACAGTGTTAACACCCACAATAAATACCCTCTTCTGGTTTCTCTCTCTTCTTAAATATCCCCCTTCAAACACTGTTGAATGAAAGCTGGGGATTGAAAATCGCTGCTGCGATTTTGGGGATGAACGCTGCTGCGTTAAGAGGATTCGCCGCCAGAAGAAAACGAAGGGTGCAGCGGACGCGATGGTGGGGGGCTGAAACGCGGACATCGGAGTCGCCCAACGCGAGGGTCGCGTTTGTCGAAGCCGAGGGTCGCGTTTGTCGTCGAATTCGCCTGCAGCTTTGCCTGCGTCGTTCCTGAGCTCGTCGGAGCTCCTCGTCGCCGGCGGAGGTTGGTTTCCACCCCCAATTCTAACAATCTCCCACTTGGAGATCAAACCGACGCCAATATGCTATCCCATCAAGATCCTCTTCTGTGTGGCTCCGCCTTCATCATCTATGCATGAAGGCCAACTGAAGTTGCGCACAACTCCAGTTTCTGAACTGTCACCGTCTTTGTTAACATATCTGCTGGATTCTTACTTCCTGGAATCTTTTCCAGTTTCAACACGTCATCTTCCAACAGGGATCTGATGAAGTGGTACCGAAGCGCAATATGCTTCGTTCTAGAATGAAATGCTGAATTCTTCGCCAAGTGTATCGCACTCTGGCTATCACTGTGCAAAACATTCTTCTCCTGTTTGAATCCCAGCTCTGTCAACAAACCTTGAAGCCATATCATCTCTTTACTGGCTTCAGTCACTGCAACATACTCAGCTTCTGTAGTGGATAGGGTAACGATCTTCTGTACCTGTGACATCCAACTAACAGCTGTAGTTCCAACGGTGAATACATAGCCGGTGGTGCTTCTTCGGTGATCAACTTCGCCGCCGAAGTCTGCATCTACGTACCCTTGCACTTCTACCTCTCCCTTACCAAAGTGCAAACACTTCTGTGTGGTGCCTCGTAGATATCTCAGAATCCACTTGACCGCTTCCCAATGAGCTTTTCCTAGATTTGACATAAACCGGCTGACCACTCCCACTGCATGGCCAATGTTTGGTCTTGTACAGACCATTGCGTACATCAAACTTCCGATAGCTGAGGCGTAAGGAACCTGAGCCATACTCTCTTTCTCTTCTTCTGATTGAGGAGGCTGATCCTTTGACAGACGAAAATGGCTGGCCAAGGGTGTGCTCACAGGCTTGGCGTCGCCCATGTTGAATCTCTGCAAAACACGGTTGATGTACTCCGTCTGAGATAACTGCAAGAGACCTCTCTTCTTATCTCTTGTGATTTTCATTCCAATGATCTTCTTAGCTGGACCCAAGTCCTTCATGTCAAACTCTTTTGATAGCTGCTGCTTCAAACTCTTGATATCCTCCATATCTGCTCCTGCAACAACATATCATCAACATACAACAGTAGGATAATATAGCTGGACTGATATCTTTTGAAGTAGCAACAGTGGTCGGTGTTGCACTTTTGGAAACCTTCCTTATGCATGAAGCCGTCAAATTTCTTGTACCACTGTCTTGGGGCTTGTTTCAGGCCATACAAGCTCTTCTTGAGTCTGCATACCAGGTTCTTCTTCTTTTCTTCTGAGAAACCTTCTGGCTGGTGCATGTATATCTCCTCTTCTAGATCTCCGTGAAGAAACGCCGTCTTCACGTCTAACTGCTCAATATGAAGATCTTCAATTGCTACAATACTCATCACGGTCCTGATAGTATTTAGCTTTACCACGAGAGCGAAAATATCGGTGTAGTCAATTCCTTCCTTCTGCTGAAAACCTTTGACAACTAGCCGGACTTTATATCTTCTGAAACCATCCTGCTCCTCTTTCACCCGGTACACCCATTTATTGTGGAGTGCCTTCTTACCCGTGGGCAACTCAGCTAGTTCCCACGTCTGGTTTGAGATGAGAGACTTCATCTCATCTTTCATGGCAAGCTCTCACTTGCTCGCATCTCCACACTGACAAGCTTCATCAAAGCTTTCAGGCTCCCCATCATCTGTCAACAACAGATAGTTCATGTATCTCCTGTTGGGTACAGGAGGACGAGAAGATCTTCTTAATATCGGAGCTGGTGCGTCGGGCTCATGCGCACCATCTTGTCCAACAGGCTCTTCTTGCTGAGAACCCTCTGCATTGGGTTCTTCCGAGAGGTTACGCGGGACATCATCTGAATCTACAAATATTGACTCGCTCTCTAAGTTAACTGTCTTGTGCATGTCCTTGTACATCACCTTCTCGTTGAATATCACATCTCTGCTCCTGATCACCTTCTTATTTTCGTTGTCCCAAATGCGGTAGCCGAACTCATCTTCACCATAGCCGATGAAAGTGCATTTCTTTGATTTGAGATCAAGCTTATTCCTGCCTTGATCACTAATATGCACGTAGGCTACACAACCGAAAACTTTAAGATGTGAGAGTTTTACCTCCTTTCCGCACCATACCTCCTCTGGTATTCTGTGCTCCAATGGAACCGATGGACCTCGGTTGATTAAGTAAACTGTTGTGTTGACCGCTTCTGCCCAGAATTTCTTTGGTAGGCCTGACTGTACCCGAATGCTTCTGGCTCTCTCTGTCAACGTTCGGTTCATCCGCTCAGCCACACCATTTTGCTGAGGCGTACCGGGCACGGTTCTCTCCATTCTGATCCCGTGCTCATAGCAGAACTTCTTGAATCCGGTGTCTTCATACTCACCGCCATTGTCGGTCCTGAGCTTCTTTATTCTCAGACCGGTCTCATTCTCGACCATAGCTTTCCATCTCCTGAAAGCTTCAAATACTTCTGACTTATGCTTCAGAAAGTAGACCCACACTTTCCGAGAGTGATCATCGATAAAAGTCACGAAGTAGTGTTTTCCACCAATGGACGTGGTGGTTGTTGGTCCCCACACATCTCAGTGAACGAGCTCTAGCTTCTGCTTCCTGGGGTTTCTGCCACTTGTCTGAAAGCTGACTCTCTTCTGCTTTCCAAGTATACATTCTTCACACATATCCATCTCCACTGACTGCAGTCCTGGGAGTTTTCCCTTTGTGTGCATGATTTTCATCCCCTTCTCACTCATATGACCGAGTCTCTGGTGCCA